CAAATCCACCATCGGGAACTCCGCCTCCCAGTCCTCCACCTCAAACCTCGCAAACACCTCCTCCGGCGTCTCCTCCTCGCTGCGCCGGTGCTTCGCAATCACAGAGTCCACCTCCGCCTGCACGCGCCCATACCACTCCTCGTTCGCGCCCAGAAAGCACAGCAAATACGCCGCGTTGATCCCGCTGTTTATCAACCCCGCAAACAGCGCGCCAACAATAAACGCCACCATCTCGACCGTCGTGTACCCTTCGTCCGTCAGGTACTGCAGCGCATCGCTCCCGTCCACACCGCGCGCCTTGCGCTCCTTGATCACCCGCTCCAGGATCATGTACATCTGCGCGCCCGAGTACACGCGGCGGAAGTGCCCGATAGTCGGCATCCAGGGGAACATGACCTTCGTGGCGGTGCTCGCGGCGTCGATGCCCTCAAAGATGCGCAGCGTCTTGACGAGCAGCGCGTCATCCTCGGCGATCTCGTCGCAGCCCACCATGCGCATCGTCAGCTGGAACACGAGCCGGTACATGTCCTCGAACGGGTCGCTGATCTTGGAGGGGCGGGCGGCGAGGCGTTTGGTCGTGTCGTGCGTGTCGCGGACGAGGAGGTGTAGGCGTTTGCAGAGCTGTTCTTTGCGTAGGAGGCGGACGATGAGGCGGTTGAACTTGGCTGCGAAGTCCTCCTCGACGGATTGGTCGGGGGACACCTCGATCTTGGGTGTCGCGTTGAAGAGGGCGCCGTATCTAACATCCCAACCGTCAGTCATTCTCTTCTTGTCCTCCATTACCAAACCATGTAATCGGGAAAGAGAAGACTCACCCCTTCGTAAAATCCAACTCTCGACTCTCAAAGAACAGATTCCGCCCCGGCTCCCCCGACAACCCCACAATCCTCATCTTTCCAAAATAAAAGCTCCAGTTCCCCGACCGCCCAAACCGCCGGCCCTCCGTCAGGAAGTTCCCCCGGTCCGTGAAGAACCGCGGCGCCCCCAGCACGGGGTAACTCTTGAACAGCTTCGGCGCGTTGCGCGGGAACGACGGCCGGTACGCGAGGAAGCCCACCGCGTACGCCAGGCCCGTGAGGAGGAGCACCCAGATGCTCGTCGGCCAGTTCTGCGGGTGCAGCGCCGTCGAGAGGAGCGTCGAGACCGACATCGTGGTCTGTCTGTGCCTGTCTTTTCGTCTCAAAGTGGACTATGGAGGGAGGAGGAGGTTCGTCTTGTGATGGCTCAAGTCGCGCTCTGACCGAAGCTTTTCCTCTGCTCGGAGGGTTGAAGAAGAGTAGGTGAAAGGTGTAGACGAGGTGGGAGAGCAACTTGGTAAAGTATGTTCACAACGTGGGATAGCGTCAGTATGATACAAGGCCGGCGCCCGCCACTCGAACCGACTAATGAAGACAGTCCAGCGCCGTCAACCACTTCAAACGCCGCGCTAGGAGACGACAGAGAAGGTAGAAAGGGCGTAGGCAGACACAGAAACAACAGCTCTGCCTTTTTGCCCGTCCGTCCCCCTCACTTCACGGGCCATCCAGGACGGGGTCCCCTAGTCCAATCCCCAAACTTCGTCTGGACGCCTTGCAAGGATGCCTCCTCCCCCGGGGCGAATCCAAACGAACGACCCCGCCAGAATGGATGACGATTCCGAATACGACTTGTGCCCTTTCATGGTTCAAGACATCACTGCAACCCCCTGCTACTCTACGCAGTGTGTTCTCACCGCAGCGAAACGCATCAGCAGTCCAATCATGGGCTAGACAATTTCAAGCAGGACCCAACCAGGATCTCCATGTTCACCTCCTCTCACTAGCAGCAGCACAGAACCATTTCAACAAGGGCACAAAAGACCCAAAACGAAGAAAGAGAAGAGGATGGTGGTCGGCGCCGGTGGGGACCCAAACCGCTGGATCTGCCGCTAGCGACGAGACGGTGCGCGGCAGATGGAGCAGCCGAGCGTGGAAACTCTGAACATGAACAAGGATGTGTCCGCCCACCGAAACGGTTTAGCCGCTTCAATGCTTGCTCTGCTCTGCCTTGCCATCGGTTGTCTGCCTCTGCGATCTTCGTCCAGCCGAACCTCCTCCCGCTTGCCTATCAGATAGCTTCGCGATGCCGTGCAGCCGTCACCACGTAAATCTGACAGTGACAAGACACCCACACCCCGTGCTTGCGGTCTGAACGGGATACAGCAACCGACTGCAACGTATAACACGCTAGCTAAAGCAGACGCCCAGTGAGCGGCGGGAGCGGGCAACAAGCTTCCCTCTGGCGCTGTTGATCATGTTTGTCTTGGATTATGTGGGGTTACGAAAGTGCCTTTCTCGTTCAGCTCGCAACGTTCGCATATCCCGCATTCCCAATAGCCGCCAAGCCCAATGTTTCCTGTAAAGCGTGACTATTTGACTGTCCCACAGGCAATTGAATACAAATAATGACCTTCTCGCCAGCTTCGCATTGTGCTTTCAGTCCCTGTTGCGCCATGAGACATGCATACGAAAAAAGTCGTTCCCCTCGCAACATTCGCATCCCGCATGCCCAACGCCCTCCAAGCCAAACCGTTTCTTTTCCGCAAGACAGACTAGAAACATAATCTTAGCCTGGGTTTTACATCTGCCTATGCCGGACAGATGAACGGCCCCGAAGCCGACCTACCTCTCACAACTGACCTTCTCTCTCAGACACGCCTTCGTAGACTAAATCCATATATCCAAAAATCCCACACTCAAAAGACCTTGCCTGTCTTCAATTCAAATCGCGATGCAGCAGTGGAGTCCCAAATCCCTCCTCCCCAGTCCCCCACTGACCTATGCACCTCCGGGCCACCTCAAGAACGCTCACATGCGTCTCCGCGCGGTGTCCTCGGGGCGCGGTCATTATATTAAAAAAACCGGATCCCCATCTGATATATGCAAAGCTGGCAGAACAAGTCACACAACCATACAGGGACAAAAAAAAAAAAAAAAAAAACTTGGCAAAGGAGTTGGTTCAGTTCACATTGCATGTCTCACTCAAACCCCACAAGCCACTTCGTCAGCGGGGCTGCAATGTACATACATATCAAACACTACCGCCGCCACGATCGCGAAACATAGAGTTAAGAAACCCGCGTTATAAACCTATCCAACGTACGCCATGCTCGAATATGCATGAACCATAAGGGTATCGCCTAACGATGCATCCTCCACTCCGTCCATCCCCAACGGCGCGTCGCTCATACGCCACCTTTAAACGGCCTGCCAGTCCATCGCGTCAACCATCCAGTCAAACGCATCCTCCCCATCCGACTCCGTATCCATCACCTCATCCGCCCAGCTCATCCTGCTCTGCAGCACCTCCACCCACCTGTCCGCAATCACATACCCCTTATCCAGCCCCTCAAACACCGCATTGAAAATCAGCGTCAGATCAAAACTCTCCAACGGCGCCGTCGCCGCCCGCCTCTTACGCGCGCCCAGCTTGCTCTCGTCCTCCGCGTGCTTCCACCAGTTCCGCAACGTCTTCGCCCTCGACAGCTGGAACAGCACGTCGCCCGTCCCCAGCACCTCGTGCAGCGGGTTCTCCTCCTTCTGCAGCGACAAGATCACGTTCTCATGGAAGCTGTGCTTTGTCGAGAAGTCCGCCCCTCTGCCATTCTTCCCGCTGCTGGTGCTGCACCCCCACGTCGAGGTCGTCTCCGGCGACACGCCAATCTCAAACACCCCCATCAGGTGCACGAGCGCCCTCTCCAGCAGCATGTAGTACTCGTAAAAGTCAAGCTTGAACATCATCTCCGCCTCCGCCCGTCCCTTCTCGTCCGCGAACTTCACCGTCGCCTTGTCGTAGCCCTCACTCAGGAACGGCTTCTTCCACTGCATCCGCCGCACAATCTGCTCGTAGCGCTTGAGCTCTCTGTGTGCCTTTGCAGCGTCGGCCGCGGGGTCACTGCTCTTGTACGCCGCCGTCGTGGTCTTTGCCTTCGTCGCTGCGGGAGTTGTAGACGTAAACCCCGAGGTGCTCATCGGCGGGGTGGGAATGCTATTCACCGCGGAGCAGGACTCGGCGGCGATGGTCGGCGAGGGCTGCCGTGGTACTACGGGGTTGGCCGTCGAGCTCGTCGGGGCCTTCGCCTTTGAGGTCGAGGGACGGCCAAGGCTCGTGGACTTTCCCTCGGACGCCCACATGGAGCTCGATAGGCCCTTCTTTTGCTGGCGCATCATTATGGCGGCCTGGAAGCTGTGTCCTCGGCAAGCAGCCCGATCCACCTTGAGATATCCTATTTCGAAGTCGGTGGCCCGTTCGGGTCTGCTTCGAGTGCAGAGTGTAGCCTCGTGAGGTCGTTCCGTTCGTCGTCAGGAAGCTGTCGACAACGGTCTGCCGAGACCTTTCGTTTGTTCGGTTGTTTGTCGGGTCTACCGCTACAATTGATTGCAGCAATGTCCAAGAATGAATGTGATGATGTTTTCGTACAAAACGGGATACAAAGAATAGAATGCAAGCTCCCTTGCCACCAGTACCAGTCCTTTGTTGATCCAATTGCTCGGCCGGCGAAACGCTTAAAGGAGTGGTTGTGGAGTGGTGAGGGTGGGGGATGATGCCATCCACCGCCTTGCACCGAGGTCTTCAGCGTTTGTTGGAAGGCCCCCGCCTGGAAACGGCCTGGTAGGTGCTGGCTGCGCCTTGTTTCCGTGTGCCAGGGCAGCGTCCGTGTGGCCCGGGGCCTGCCGCGGAATGATGCAGGTCTAGGGCAGTTTAGCGCCCGCTGACAGAAGGGGGCCCCCAAGACAAGACCCATGCTTGGCCATGGCCAGAACACGTCAATCACAGCCTCACAATGACAACCTCAAATGACTGCCTGAACAACCTTCGTGCTGTATTGACTGTGTGTAGAAATCGTACTTGTACGTATTTCTAGGATATACAAACTCAAACTCGACAATGCCCCATCTGCAGCGCAAAATTCCTCCAACGCCTGTCGCCGTGTCACTGTGTCACTCATCCAAGAACGCCTCCGTAGCCAGCCCTCTGGCCTTTTAAACCTTCTTCGTCGCCTTCGCCGTACCAATGTGGGTATTATGAACCTGTGCCTGGTTAATCTCTTGTTCTTCCGGAAACGGTTCAGTATCCCGCTTACCTTCGTAGCAAATCTCAAACTCGTCAACGTCTCCTTGAGGTGAGTCTCCAAGGGACTAACCATCACAAACATGAGCGTCTTGCTGTTGCCCCCGAGGGAGTACTGCAGCAAGTGCGTCAGCTTGGAGTTGCGGTACGGAATGTGTCCGCTCCCCCTGCCGAGCGCTTCAATAACATCACCGAGGCATGACAAGGACTTGTTGATGTTCTGTGTCTCCTTCATCCTGTCACCTTCGACCTGCGAGTGCTTCAGACGCTCCGAACCAGCCAGGTCCACCAGGTTGAGGGTGCCCTCGCAACGTTCTCCCGTTGCCGAGTTGAAGCCCACCAGCTTGAGGATGAAGACACTGTGCGAACGAGACGACCGCTCGTTAGCCTTGGTTGCCGCCACAGATCGGTTCTTCTGCGCCTCGTCGAGCATCATCTCAACCGTGTCCGCCGAGTCCAGCGACACCGACTTGCAGTTGACGACCGTCGTCTGCTTGCGCACATCGTCGTGACGGATCTCGAGCTTGCGTCCCTTGCCCTCGGTGAGCAGGTCGTTGAGCTCTTCGTTGTACACTTCAATGAAGGATCCCTCCATCTTGTATGTCCACGACTTCTCCTTGAGCTTGTTGACCGTGTCGTAGATCATATGTGTCGCGCGAGGAATCATACCGTCTTGAGACGACATGGTGTGAGTCTTTCCGGAACCTGTTTGACCGTAGCAAAAGATGCACACGTTGTATCCGTCGAGCGCACTCTGCACCAACTGGGAAATCTCGTCAAACACGTCCTGGTTCTGCGCCTTGGGGTCGAAGACGCGGTCGAACTCAAAGTTGTAGTTCTTTCTGGTAGCCTTGCCGGTAATGCTGTTCATCTCCTCAGGTCCCGCGAGGGCGATCTCGGCCGACGTCTTGTCGTCGGGGTACGCAACCTGCGCCGGCGCACCTTCCGCAGCGCTGAGAACGGGGCGCACTCTGCACATAACACGAATGTTGCCCTTGAGCTCCTGGTACTTGTTGAAGAGGATGCGGCGCTCCGTCTCCTCCTTAATGAGCTTCTCCTTGGCAAACTCCGCTTGCTCAAGAGCCTCCTGCAGCCTCGCCTCCATTTGCGTGTAAGAGTCGGATTGCGCCTTGCTGTCGGACTGGAGGTAGTCGACTTGTCCGGTGAGGGAGTTGATTCGGCCCTGAAGTTGGTGAGTTGAGGACGAGAGCTCGGTGATGGTTGCCTCGAGGCCCTTCTTCAGGCTCTGTTCGCGGTCCAAATCGCCCTTTAGCCCCTCAATCACAGCACGCATCTCTGACACCTCGCGGTCCTTCTTCTGCAGGTTGAGGTGGAGGTCCTGCTGTTCGTTTCCGAGTCGCATGCGAAGGTGCTCAATCTCCTTGCCCTGCTTGGCCCGCTCATCCTCAATCATGACCTTGTAATGTCGCTCCAAGGCCGCCAACGCCTCGCTCTGGCTCTTCTCCTGTCGTGCAACTTCATCCCTCAATTCACGTCGGAGCTGCTCCACCTCATGGCGGCGCTTGCGAGCCTCATCCTCGAGCTCATACTTATGGCTGCGCTTCTCAGTCTCTGATTCAATCGTCAATTTAGAAACCTGCTCCCGCATGCTGTTGAGCTCCGAGTGCAGGCTCTCATTTCGGTCTGCGAACTTGTCTCGCTCGGTTTCCAGCTCGGATACTGCGACCGTCAGCCAACTTTCATCTCATCTCTCATCGGCCGACTCACTTCTCTTCTTGTACATCTCAACTCTCTCATCCATCAACTCCTTGTCGGAAATCATGCTGTTCATCGAGTCCTGCACCTTCTTAAACTGAGAGTCTAGCTCTCCCAAGCGTCCCTCGACATCCCATGCTGCGAATTGAGTTGTGTTAGAATCTTTGGTCAAGAACATGAGTTTACTAGGGGAGGGGCATCTGGCGGGGGATCTGGATTCTTTGATGGTGGACATAATCGCCTCTTCGAATACTTTCATGTCGGCTCTAACGCGCTTAGAGTCTGGCGAAGGCGTGGCGGGGTCAGTCATGCGACTGGCGTGCCTCTTCTTCGGCGACAGGTCTGGCGGTTTCATGGCGAGCTTGCGAGGGGAGCGCATGGTGACGTTGTCCATTTGTGCAGCGCCGCTCGCAGTCGTTGTCGCGGAGCTGACGCTGTTTTCTTGGCTGAAAACCACTTGATCTTCATCTTGGGCAGAATCCGAGCTGGTGTCGTCCTTAATGGACAGTGCACCGAACCGGCTGGTGAGAGATACTTCTCTGCGTGACGAGTGGTTCATCTGGGGTGCTGGAATGGCATGTCTTGACGTGTTGTGCGGAAATTCAAAATTGCGTTGAAAGTTCAGTTGACGAAATTGACTGGTCGTACCATGCTGTTGTGCCATTGGTCCATCACATTCATCCTCAATTCGATTGCCGATAGCTGTGCGAGGTCTTGCGGTGTTTGCGTTTCGGGAGCGCGGATGTCCGGAGACCGACTGTGCGTGTACCGACCGGCTATTGCCCAACGACGACTGTGAGCGTTCATGGCGCTGTCTGGTGCCGGGGCCGACGCTGGCGGAAAAGTTGTTGTTTTGGCCGTATCGTGAAGTCGTCGACGAGGTCGAGTTGTGACGCGCGAGGGCGTTGCTGGCGGGGTTTCTGAACTGCTAACGAGTCAGCATAGGCACAGGTCGGTTTTGTGACGAGCAGCCTGTGGTACAGAAAGCATGTCATCCCTGTCCCCGATGTCGTCTGTGATGTCCGTGATGCACGCCTCAGTAGTCGCCTGGTGCACCTCTGCATCAACCAACAGACGAACGCCCCGGGAGCTGCCGTTGTCGCTCTGGCTGCCGAGACATAGCTGGAAGCGGCCAGAGGTGGTGCGGAAGTAGGTCGGGCCAGGACCAGGTGGCAGCGGTTGAAATGGCTGAAGCTGTCGTCGAGAGTCGAGGCGGATCATGGTGAGCTGTCTCTCTTGGTGCAGGCCTGGATGATGGACGTCGGTGTGGTCCCAGTGCAGCGACAGGGCAAACAGCAATCCCGGCAGGGTAGACAACCGCGGGGCGACGCAGATGATGGTACGCAGGGCTCGTCGAGAGGCACGGTAAAGATGGACACAGATCCAGTGAGCAATGCGGAGGACGTCGACGTCGACGCTGGTTGCACACAGCTCCATCGCGACGTCCGAGCCGGCTCGGGGGGGATCATGTAAAGGACATTCGAAGGTTGACGAGGGTTCGCAGGGAGTAGGAGTAGCAAAGAGGGGGAGGGGGGAAGACTTGAAGTGGGTTGAAGGTTGGTTGGGAATGGGGGCGGGACGTGGACGTGGACGTGGACGGGATGAGAGGGCAGAAAAAAAAAAGAGAGAGAGAATGGACCCATTTCACTCCTGCGAGTGACGAGTCCAATCAATCGAGTGGTGTCACAGTGTGTGTGCACCTGTGGTGGTGGTGGTGACTTACCGATGCGAGAGTCTGACCCCTCACCGAACCCGCTCTCGTGAGGCCAGAAGCACCAGCCGCTGCTGCCGTTGAAGGGTGTGTTGAGTGTGCGGCGTCTCTGCCGGGGTATTCGCCAGCGCGCTGTGCGAGGGTCTTGCCGCGCTTCGGGTCCGAAATCTGGGCTGCAGCAAAAGAGCGGTCAGCGGGCTTTGATACACTTCGCTGGCAAGCACCTGCAGCACTGGAACAGCTGGAACAGGAAAATACCCACCTGGCTGCGGGACATGTCGCTTGAGGTCGACCAACGAGCCAACCTTGGCCGATGATGGCGGTGGAATCATGCTGCTATTGTTGTTCATCGTCCGACTGTTGTTTTGCGCATCGCTCATCTCTGAAAGGCCGCCCGAATGGATACTCGACGAGTGCGACATGCTCGTCCCCGGTCGGGGCAGAGCGCTGGGGGGTCGTATGACGGACGTTCGGAACTGGTGCTGCTGCATTGCGGTCGGGAGTCAGCCAATTTTGTTTTTCCTGTCGTGAATGTCATCGCAGGAGGCGCAGAACGCACCGTATTCTCCGAGGAGTCCATGTTGACTGGCGGTCGTGGTGTTGTCGTCGTCGATGCGGCGGCGGGGCTTGTTGACAGACTCGACTGGGACGATTAATGTGCGATAGGTACTGTGGCGATCAGCCGCTGCTGGCGGTGGGAGACGGCGACGACGTCTTCTTCGTTCGTTCGTTATTGTTGTAGAGTTGAAGCTGCAAACATGCGAAATGGCAAATACAAATCGCGAAAAGTCCACAGCTATGATTGAATATGGGGAGGGGTGTGGATTTGAGTGCACGAGCTCGAGGTGCCAATCTGCTGTCTTTTTGCTGTGACGGCTTGTTTGCGCCTCCCGATTGGGATTTGTGGAGGCCTTCACAGGGGGCCGCCTGTTTACACTGGATTGTGACTGTCGTTGTCTGGGCGACGGAGTTGTGCAAGTTGTGCACCTTACCTAAGCTAGATACCTCGCTCAGGTACCTTACCTAAGCTACTTAATCCCAGCCACCCAGGAACACCTCTCCAGGAGAGCCGCTTAGGTAAGGGACGCCGGTGCCACCCGCCAACTGAAGCTCCTTGTTCCTGCCTAAGGCCGACGCCCTCCCGACTTAAATGTCAGGCCAGAATTTCTACCGTCACAAAGCGGGGCAGTACACCCAATACGGAAAGCGGTCGCCAGAGCGGTCAGACCAGCAGCAGCTTTCTTGCGCCGCCAACCGCCCAGCGCAGACAAGGTCGCAGTGTGGCCTTTTCACATGTCACGAAGACCAGCCTGTCGCACCATGACGTTGGAAAGCTCATTCGCCAGCTCCCGCCAGAGATTTGTGTCTTGACGCCCCCCCGCCGACGACGAGGAATCTGCCCGATCATACAGGACACGAAGGCTGCCGTGCAGAGGCACGCGTATCACTGCTGTTGTTCTGTCGACGCCGTTTTCTGCCCATCCTCTCTCGCAAGGCTATCCTTCATTGCTAGCCATCAATCCCGATATTGACGAAGCTCGACTCGGACCGCGACGCCCCCTCCCTCGGCAGCGCATCCCTTCACGAATCGCATTGCAACGGAGCCACATGCCGCCGTGATCTACACCCCGAACCTCCCGCTTCCGGCCTCCTGCTCCGACTTACACGATCCTCGACCACATATCCCAAACCACAAACGCAGCCATGGAGAAGTTCAGCCAGTTCCGCGATAAAGGTTAGCACCCCTACCCATGATCACGACTATTTTCAAATCGCCGTCGCTAACACGCACCCAACCCAGGCTCCGGCATCTCGCCCTTCATCCCCGTCAAGACGCCGCTCTCCGCGCTCTCCTCCGTCTTCCACGCCTTCCTCTTCCTCATCCGCCTCCCGTTCTTCATCACCTACGTCGCGACCTACTTCCTCGTCCTCCACCACCTGCCCTTCCTGCCCGTCGCCGCCCGCAAGATCCTCCTCTGGGGCATGATGGGCATCCCGGGCATCTGGTGGGTCGACCTCCAGCTCGACGGCGTCCGCCGCGGCACCCTCGCCGAGCAGCCCCCGCAGCGCTTCCCCCACCCGGGCTCCGTCATCGCCGCAAACTTCACCTCCCCCATCGACGCCATCTACCTCGCCGCCATCTTCGACCCCATCTTTACCGTCTCCTACCCCAACACCCGCTCCGTCGAACGCATCTCCCTCCTCCGCGCCGTCCTCTACGCCCTCTCCCCCGTCCGCTTCGCCCCCCGCCAGGGCGCAAAGCTCACCGACCTCGCCGCCCTCCTCGAGCGTTACCCCGACCGCGTCGTCGCCGTCTTCCCCGAGGCAACCACCACAAACGGCAAGGGCGTCCTCCCCTTCACCCCGTCCCTCCTCGCCGCCAAGCCCGACGTCCACATCTTCCCCGTCAGCATCCGCTACACCCCCGCCGACGTCACCACCCCCGTCCCCGGCCGCTGGTTCAAGTTCCTCTGGGATCTTCTTTCTCGCCCAACCACCTGCATCCGCGTCCGCGTCGCCGAGAGCATTCTCAACTCCTCCGCCGCCCAGACCAACGGCGTGTCATCCTCCCACGACACCGGCTCCTCCGCGCAGCGACGCATGGGCGGCGAGCCTACGGGGCTTTCCGCCGAGGAGCAGCGCGTGCTCGACAAGGTCGCCGAGGCGCTGGCCAGGCTGTGCCGGAACAAACGTGTGGGCCTGACGTTGAGAGACAAGGCTGCCTTCGTCGAAGCATGGAGCGGAAGGAAAAAGTGAAATCCCTCCGTCACCGCAGTAAACCCAATTACAACACACACAAAAAAGGATGTGCAGGAAAGGCGGCCAGCAGTGATTTAATGTCAACTTGTTCGGGTATTTGCATAGCTAGGAGCCGGGGCTGCCTTGAACGCGTCATGTTTCGAAATCACCAACGCACTGGGAGGGGGGAAGAGATGAAGAAAAGCAGGTCATGAGCGGGCGCCCCGTCTTCTTACAGACGCGCGCCGCTGTGTAATGTCTACGTTTGTACGTTTTTGTTGGCGAGCTTCCATATACCACGATTCCAATTCTTATTTTTGAGCGCGCGGAAGTTTGCTCTACACCCCACACCATATACACACTTCAGTGATGTACAACCACCAGAGACGAACCGTAAACAAAACTCCGATTTTGGACTACCTTTTCCGAAGCCGTACAAGTAAGATGGTATAACAAAGCGTAAATCTCTAGTGGTGGAAGACCGCCCCATTTGCTCCCCCCTGAACCTGACCCGTTCACTTCCCCCCCCCCCCTCTCTTCTTCTTTACTGCAGCTTGCCGTCCGTAATGCAGCCCGAGGACGCGTCGCTCACGAGCAGAGAGTACTTCTTCAGCGTGCCCTTGCTGTACTTCAGCGGCGGCGCCTTCCACTCCGCCCTTCTCCTCGCCATCTCCTCCTCGGACACATTCGTGTCGATCACGCGCGACTCCGCATCAATCGTAATCACATCCCCGTCCTGCACCAGCCCAATCGGCCCGCCCTCCATGGCCTCCGGCACAATGTGCCCGATCAGGAAGCCGTGCGAGCCGCCGGAGAAGCGGCCGTCCGTCAGCAGCGCGACGTCCTTGCCCAGCCCGGCGCCCATGATGGCAGAGCTGGGCTTCAGCATCTCCGGCATGCCGGGGCCGCCCTTGGGGCCCTCGTAGCGGATGATGACGACCGTCTTCTCGCCCTTCTTGATCTCGTTGCGCTCCAGCGACGCGATGAAGTCGTCCTCGTCGTCGTACACGCGCGCCTTGCCCTCGAAGCGCAGGCCCTCCTTGCCCGTGATCTTGCCGACGGATCCGCCGGGTGCGAGCTGCCCGCGCAGGATCTGGATGTGGCCCGTGGGCTTGATCGGGTTGCTGAAGGGCCGGATGATCTGCTGGCTGTCCGGGAAGCCCTTGACGTTCTCGACGTTCTCCTTCATCGTCTTGCCGGTGACGGTGATGCCCGAGCCGTCGATCAGGCCCTCCTTGAGGAGGAACTGGAGCAGGCCGGGGGTGCCGCCGATGTCGTGCATGTCAGCCATGACGTACTTGCCCGAGGGCTTGAGGTCGGCGAGGAAGGGGGTGCGGTCGGAGACGGCCTGGAAGTCGTCGACAGTAAGCTTGATGCCGACGGAGTCAGCGATAGCAAGCAGATGCAGGACGGCGTTGGTGCTGCCACCAAGAATGTTGACGACGACCATGGCGTTCTCGAAAGCCTGGCGGGTCATGATGTCGCGGGGGCGGATGTCCTCCTTGAGGATGTTGCGGACCGCGGCGCCGATGGTCTCGCACTCGGCCTTCTTGGCGGGGTGCTCGGCGGGGCTGCTCGACGAGCCGGGCATGGTCAGGCCGAGAGTCTCGATGGCGGTGGCCATGGTGTTCGCGGTGTACATGCCACCGCAGGCGCCGGAGCCGGGGCAGGCGTTGCGGATGATGTCGAAGCGCTGCTCCTCTGTGATCTCGCCGGTGATGTACTGGCCGTAGGCCTGGAAGGCGGAGACGATGTCGATGGACTCGCCGGCCTTGCTGCAGCCGGGCTGGATGGTGCCGCCGTAGACCATGATGGAGGGGCGGTTGACGCGGCCCATGGCGATGGCGACGCCGGGCATGTTCTTGTCGCAGCCGGGGAGGGAGATGTTGCCGTCGTACCACTGGCCGTTCATGACCGTCTCGATGGAGTCGGCGATGATCTCGCGCGACTGCAGCGAGTAGCGCATGCCCTTGGTGCCCATGGAGATGCCGTCCGAGACGCCGATGGTGTTGAACTGGTAGGGGATCAGGCCGGCCTTGCGGACGGAGTCGCGGACGAGGTTGGACAGGTCGAGCAGGTGCATGTTGCAGGGGTTGCCCTCATACCAGACGGAGGAGATTCCGACCTGGGCCTTGTTCATGTCGTCCTCCGTCAGGCCCGTGGCGTAGAGCATGGCCTGGGAGGCGCCCTGGGACTTGGGCTGGGTGATTGTCGCCGAGACCTTGTTCAGCTTGCTGTCGTCGGCGCGACGGGCGGCGGTGGAGGAGAGGAGGCGGCTGGTCCGGGGGGAGTCATTGTCAGCGATTGGGTCTTGTTACAGGGTCAATTGGGTAACATACGCATGGCTGCTCGCGAACGAATGCCTCGTCGCAGCTCTGAGAGCTGTCGACTGGCGGGCGATGCACCGGGAGAGCATTGCGTCGAAAAGGGACCGCCGGCCCAATATTCAAGCGAATGCGGAGGAGGAGGGGCGGAGAGGGGAAGAAAAGAGTTGTAAGTCGTGTCGATTGAAGTAAGTCAGGCCTCAATTCATTGCCCGTCTTCTCGACTCAGGATCTTTTTATGGTGGTGTGAGGGTGAGGAGGTGAGTCACGGAAAGGCTGGTGCGGTGTAGAGAAAGACCTGAGATCACAGGGACAGTCACAGGGACACGGCGCACACGAAGTTGGAGATAGTTTGACCTAGGTCCATACCCGTAGGCCATGTCCCACCCCCCAGGAAATTTGGGGCGATGTCGGCTGCGTAAAATTTCTGGAGCTCCCCGCCGGCGCACTCCCCGCATTGAAATAGGAAATTGCTGATTGGCTGGCCGAGGTGGCCCCGGTGAGGCCCACGCCGAGGGGCCGGTGTAGGAGCTGAGGCGGTGGCCTGTCAAGGTGAACACGGTGAGCAAGGTGAGCGAAAGAGACAAGCATCAGCCAGCCCTGGAGACATAATCGCCGGTTCAACCATACGGTTTCCCTTCCACTTTTCTCATATTCACTCACAATAACTCAATTACATCAAGGCCACACCTGTTGTGCAATTCTCTCAGCTCCTGCTCTAGCTTCCACGTCTTATTTCCGCTAAAGCCCGCTACGCTTCCGGTTCCGGACCAGACCCTCTTTTCAGGCCGAATCCAAGTCCGCGATGTGGGTAATGGCTACCCGGCAACGCGCATACGGCCTCCATAATCCTCATAATCCGATCCCGTAATCGTTTCGTCGGGTGGGTATCCAGAGCATGACGTCTGTTTCAGAGCGCTCACACAGACAGCGTGACGGCTCATTCCATGTGTGCTTCGCGGCTCTATGGCTTCGTCTTCTGCTCCTCCGCCGACCCCTCCTCCTTCTTGTCCTTCTCCTCCCTGCGCGTCAGGATCTCGTCAATCACGCCAATCTCCTTGGCCTCCTCGGCGGTCAGGTACTTGTCGCGCTCCATCATGTCGTTGACCTCCTCCAAGTTGAACTTTTCGTGCCCAAAGGACTGGTTGATGTGGCGCCTCATGATCTCGTTGATCTGTCTGCGGATGCGCTGGATCTGGTTCGCGTAGATGAGGATGTCTGACGCCTGGCCCTGGGTGCCGCCGAGGGGCTGGTGGATCATGACGGAGCTGTGAGGGAGTGCGTAACGCTTGCCAGCCTCGCCTCCCGTCAGGAGCAGCGCAGCCATGGAAGACGCGGCGCCTAGGCATACTGTCGAGACAGGCGACTTGATGTATGTCATTGTATCGTAGATTGCAAGTCCTAAGTCCGTCAGCCTTGTTCTCCCCGCCGGGGCTCGGCCATCTAACCTGACGAGACTGATCCTCCAGGCGAGTTGATGTACATCGTGATGGCCTTGTCTGGGCTATCGGATTCGAGCCACAGCAGCTGGGCAACTATTGATGCGGACACCGTGTCGTCGATCGCGCCATTAAGGCACACAATTCGTTCCTGTCCGCCGTCAGTCGTCGCTCGCCTCGGAGATTGCGGAATCGCTGGATCGTACCTGTAGAAGCTTGGAGAAGATGTCGTCTGCCTACTCCGTCAGCGTTGAACTTCAGTCGCGGGTGTTGCAGTACTGACATGTCCTCCAGCCGTTGGACTACTCGATTAGCCATCTCCTCGAATCCAAACCATCAAGACCATGTGCTACGAACCGAGACCTCGGTGATGTACGGCAGGGGAATGTTTCCGGCCGGTGGCGAGCTTCCCATCATCGGGGGGACGGGGAAGTTGGTGAATGCCCTCGCATGTCGTCGCAGGGGCGCTGCGGCCCGCAGAGACCGAAATAGGGTGCGCTGGCAGTTCATGACGGCGCAAAAAGGGTTGCTGCGCACACTGAAAAGCAGGTGTTGAAGCTGAAGGAATTGAATGCGATGCGGCTGGCAGCGGCAAGTGGAGGTGACGTTTGTGCGCGCCCAGCGGTGCAGGCGGCGCGGCAGAAGCTTGCTGCTGTGACCCCCCTGCGGGGAACCCCCGAGCTCCGAGCTTCAACGCGCCTCTCGCCTAAAAAATGTCCCGAGGCGTGTAAAGCTGCCCGATTCCCCAAATCTTCAGACGTCATTGTCGCAATCGAGCAACGCAGCATCACCCTGCGCCAAATTCGACGGTTCCCAATGGCTTCCCGCCCAGTCAGGACAGGCGTCGCCATGAACCGTCGCCTCCTCTCCGCCCTCGGCAGTCGTCGAACTATCGCGAACTTCTCCCCCAAAGATCTGGAGCGAATCGCAACGAAGAGGAACGAATTGGCTGCCGACTTCGATCGCGGCCTGGGGGAAGATGGTGAAGGCAACAAGATCAGGCTTGACGCCGAGGAGAAAACGATCAGCACGTCGGTTGGCGAGCTGCCCATGTCACCCCTCATGGATCCAGACTTCGTAGAGACTACCAAGAGGTGGAGGCATCACAAGGGAAGGGCGAACAAAGGCGAAGTCAAGGACCTAAAGGAGAGAGCGAGGAGGAAACTTGATGAAAATGCATATGGTCTGTTGTGCCCAGCTGGTTTGAATTCTGGTCACGAAGCTAACGAGGTTTTCCCAGCTCATGCCTTGGCATCTCCCGTCCGAATATGTCAGGTCTTTAGAAAACGTCTCCCCTCCTACTTCCACCAAAAGTTCAAGGCCGTTCAGAACTTGGAAACCGGCAAGTTTTGGGCAATCCCGGAGGATATTGAATCAGCGGCACCAGAGAATGATACAGCAGACCAAGAGCCGGGTGCTGGCGAAGGAGCGCAAGAGCAGAAACCCATGATGGGGTCGCCTTCGGGCTACGTTATGGCCAGGAAACGGGTAATCTACAATATGTTGCAGAAGCCGGGTTCGAGCCCATATTCTGGAACCTCCAAGGCTGTCTTCGCCAGGCGGGCGAACTTGAAAACCGAAAGGAACCAGATCGTATGGCGCCAAGACATGGACAACTTCGTGCTGGAGAATCTGAGGCGTCAAGCGGTCAACACCATCTTGTATTATTTGCGGTTGTCGGAAGACGCTGACCGTGGATATCTGAGGCCATGCAGCTTCCGGGACGTACACGAAATGCAGAAGCGTGGGTGTCTGCTGTGGATGCCGCCAAACGGAGACGGCCCGGAGCCGTTGGAGCAATTCGCTACTTTTGACGTCCCGGACGTCAAGTGGGAGAAGAAGCTGGCCGTTCATGACCTCAACCAACTGCTGGGACCCGAACACATGGCAACTTTAAGGCAGTATTCCTTGTTCAAGGACAACTCGCTGATCCTGTTGGGCAAGCGACGGTCAATAGCTCTGCAGCTTGTGCTCTGGAAGCTACAGGGATATTTGGCAGAATTCCCTCAAGATTTCTGGGAAACTCCTTCGAAGACACGGCTGCCCAAAGAGGCTGGTCCAGCAACAGCAAAGAACGACGGGCTAATGAAGAAAAGTCAAGATGGCAGGGGTTTCTCGCGAAGAGATGCGCCGGGAGGGAAGCCATCAGCAGGAGACCACTCCGAAGGACGAGGAAAGAGACCGCAAGCTGAAAGGGGTCATCTCAGAAGAGGCCCGTTGGATGGCAACGCCCCAAGACGCGGCATGTGTACACGAAGCACGGATTTCGCGGCAGAGGCTAAAGAGAGCCAGCCCTCGAAGGAGAAATCGAAGAAAGGCTCGAAAAACAAAGCCGCCGTGTCTAAAAAGGACAAAGCCAAAGGGCGCGATCCCACAGAGGACGAACCGAAGAAAGTCTCAAAAAGAAACCCCAAGGGTGTCAATTTATCTAAATTGGACGAAGCTGATAGGGAAGCGATAAACGCAATTCTCGAAAAGAAACACCAGCGAGCACGGGAAGCGACGGAGGAATTAGCTACACACATGAGGCTGCACAGAGATATTGAGAGGGGCAGGTGGTCCGATGAATGAGCATATTCAAGTTGGGGATGACAAGAAGTTCACAACACGCACGAATACATTTGGCCTGACCGCCCAACATTCCCATCTCATCTCTCTAAGCATCTCTGCGTCATTTTGGGAAGACGCGAACCCAGTCAGGGGAGGTCATGTTCTACAGTGTGCTTTGATAGAGCCCACTGCTTTCACGGCCACATGCGAGCTGAAAATTGTTTCGAGACTAACTTGAAGGAAAGGTAAGCGTGATCACAGGTCTGCGGGTGTCTACGAAAAGCTTCCCACGACAGTAACATTGCGGGCATCCGGCCCAAGACGCAGCGTAACCTCCTCTCCCTTGAACTCCGTCGCCGCACCACCAACCGTAACATTCTTCAGCTGACGACCCTCCGGCACCCTCATCTTGACTCTCACCTCCGTCGGGGGCGCCTTATCAAAGCCCAAGGTCGTCGTGACAGTGCTCGCCTTCTCGTCCAGCTGCATATCCAGATCGACGAGTCCCCATTTCGTCGGGGCCCTCTGCACCGCGACTTTGCCCTCACTGAGCCACTTCCTCGGCACGCCCCGTCCAACCAACAAGGCGTCGTCGTCCGGGTGGTCCAGCAGCAGCGCGGCTCTCAGCAGGATAGGGATGGTGAACTCGGACGGCTGGCAGTACGTGCTCGAACCGCCCCCGGTGCCGGCGACCTCGGCGGCTAGCCACAAGCCGCGGTTGTGCACGTGGTATCTGTGTGTGTACAAGAACAGCACGAACTCGTCGATGCGGTCCTGGAGCAGGAGGCTCAACGCGTAGCCGTACGAGATGAAGCCCAGAATATCTCGCGTGTCGGACTTCAAGGGCGTCACGTTCGCCACGACACCCAGACTCGTGATGCCGTATGCCCGCATCGAGTCGATCACCATGTCCGTCTGGTTCGACGAAAGAACAGACGCCTGTAGCAGCTCAGAGTACACACGGTGAGGCCACCACTGCGACGACGCATCCCCCTTCTCCGCCAGGTCTTCCAGCACGTGCGTCGTCTCGTTCGGGAGCACAGGCACATACGGCGGAGTGAAGTTGCGCTGTACATATCTATCAAGAGTCACTGCCGTCTGGTTAACCAGCTTATCCGCGCGCTCGTTCCAGTCCTTGGCCTGCTCCGCGAACGCCTCAATCTTGCTCAGATCCCGCAACCCGCGCGCGGCAAAGGCAGCATTGTTCCAGTACGGCTTCTCAAACCGCCACGCGTCGCTCCGCAGCGCCGCATCGGACTCGCTCCAGCCGGAGATGAGGCCGTAGTACGGGTCCGTCGCCGGCAGCTTCAGATTCTTGTCCTGGCGCGTCGTGAGCATGCCCACCCACGCGAGGATCTTGGCCTTGTACTTATCCACAAAGGCCGCATCGCCGGTGTACTGCACGTAGCGCGCGATCAGGGACAGCGACAGGCCGAACTGCGGCACCGCGGGCCCGCGCATCTTGATCGCGCCGTTGTCGTAGACGTACCAGTCCATGTAATTCTCGAGCACGGCCTTGGCCTGGTCAAAACGGCCCCATACGAGGTTCGCCGTGAGCGAGCTGGTCAGGATGTCCTGGAAGCCGTCATACTCCGAGCCGCCGTAGTCGCGCTCGAAGGCGCCGTAGCGTGGGGACACGCCGCCGCCGCGGTTGACGAGCTCCGCTGCGAAGGCGTGCTTGCCCATGTCTGCCCAGGTTTCGTCGGGCAGGGTGAGGGAGAGGCCGTCCTTGACGTGGGAGGTCCAGTAGTCCGTAAAGCGGATGAGCGCCGGGTAGAAGTCGTTGGCGGTGGGGTGTGCCTTCAGGGGCAGGAATTGCTTGTAGTCCAGAGCGAACTTGTGGGCGCGGACGACGCCGCCCTTGATGTACGTCATGGAGAACCAGACGTGGACGATCTCCGGGTCGGGCGAGTCGACGTCGGCGAAGGCGGTGATGTCGACCCAGTCCGTTGCGTCGTTGAGCCCGCGGTAGATCTTGCGGCACGCGGGCATCCAGCCACTGAGGAGCCCATCAAAGCTGTAGTTTGAGTGTGTCCCATCCGCGGCCTCGAGCAGGTCGTTCCACGGGGCGTAATTCTTCGTCGTGGACTGCCAGTCCAGCGCCATGGTGTCGTTCGCCTGTACGTTGCCGAGGTACGTGTCCCACGGGAGGAAGGACAGATCAATAACATCGCGGACATGTGTCTCGACAGGCTCGCCGTCCTTGAGGAGGCGCTCCGCCAGAACGTCGTTCTGCTTGAGATTCACATCGTTGGCGGGGTCTAGACCAAAGTACGCGTCAACGGTCCTGTTGAGCGAGACGGCCTCGTCGCTTGAGGCCTCGACGTATCGCTTGATCTCGCGGCGTGTGCCGGAAGCTGAGACCAGAACCAGAGGGCCGTCGAACCGTGTGAGGTCTTCGTAGGCCGTCCATGTCTCGCTGTTGTAAGTGAAGGTGTCGATGGCGGTGAGACCATCGGCCGTCTTCTCCTGGCGCGGGTTCAGATGGTCCAGGGTGGGCGCGCTGAAAGGCTCAAAAGATTCATGTCTGGCTAGTTGCGGCACCTCATGATAAGGCTTGGGGTGCTTGACGTCGCCTCTGCCAGCCAGAGCTGTGATAACGAATGAAGAAAAAACGATTGACTTTAGAAAGGAGTGTCGAGGCATCTTGGTACCTGTGCCTGTCAGGACTTGTAGAGGACCGAAGTGTCGATACTAATGAGAGAACACCATTTGGCCAAGGAACTCATCGCTTCATGTAGTTTTTGGACCTTTCATAGTGAGATGAAGGGGCGACGATAGTTCATTGGTGTCTGGCCATGTGCGAGTTGGACAGGGGTGCACCTGAGTCGAGTCATTACACTAAAGAAGGTTAATTGATTGTTTGTAATTGGGCGGAAAAGCTTTGTTCACTTGGCTCCAGTAATGACTGCACCAAGGCCCTACAACCAACGAAGTTGAAGGGCGAGAGAATGAATTCGGAAGGGTGGTATCGGCTTCGGCATCCGGGGCGATCAAGAAGCTCTCGCGCGCGCTTGGCCGTCCGCGCCGACTTCCAAAGCCGCACCCTACACTGACCTCGCTCGAGAACTTTCCTTGGGGGCTAACTACTAGATTCAGTATTCGGTTATCTCGGCAAACGTCTTAACTTACAGTGAAATTGCGACTACCCCTGAAAGGCAGACAAGCCGTATCCAGTTATCCGGTTGTTCCGGCCGGATGAGAAACCAAAAAGAAACACATGCACTTTTGATGGGCATACTGTGTAGCCGTAGAATTGGCGGCTCACAAAAGGAATATTGAAGGCTGAATTAGCGGCGACTATAGTCAACGGCATGGTGTTGCGAGTTCTGATCGCAACAGTGTTTTCGAATTAGGCATTGCAAACATTCTTCATCAAATCGACATCCATCCTTTGTGCAAGTTGCCCAAGCTGAAAAGAATTCTGTCTTTGTATGATATCTGATGGATTAGAAGGTTTTTTTTAAAAAAAAAAAAAATAACACGTCATCGGTGTCTTTTCTAACTTCCATGCGAAACAGTGAGCCACTTTGTGTTCAGAAACCCAGCACAACATATTAAAAATGAGGCCAATTTATCATCAAAAAGAACACCGATGTTAGAGTTATGAGTACCAGGTTTCTAATTGTTCGTCTGAATATGACACACTTGTATCCTATGAATCCTTTTGTGGTGTTTGTCTCCGCTGTGTATGAGACGATTGGGGAATTCCCACAGTCGCAAGGCTACAAAACACCTGATCACAGAACCAACATAAGCATCAGGTGAACCTGCAAGATTCCCCACTGCGTATCGCTTATTGACTTCCATGGTTTCTAATTGGTCTTGTTGGTTCTGTTGGTCTTGTTGAACCCCTAGGAATCTTGCACATTACCCCGCTTGACCTCTCGCAACACCTGACTCCTCTTGTTCTCATCATACTTGGCGACCATCTTCAACATGAGATGGCACGCACCCACCTGTCACCAGCCGGACGTACATGTCGCAGACGATGGCTTCCCGTTTTGCAGAGGATGCGGCAAGTCAGCACAAGAGATGCGACACCGTCGCGAGGATACGCACTCTTCATTGGAACCGCTGCCTCCAGACGAGCCGGAAAGACGTCTCAATCTATGGTGGCCACCTTCGGTATCATATACGTCGAATGATGGCACAAAGTTCGACATCCCAGAAGCTTCAGTAGTGCCGCCAGTTTCCCCAGCAGGCCACGGGAATCAGATCTACGAGAGATCCTTAATGCCGAACGAGTTCCGACTCGCATGTATTTCTGCAACGCCTAGCAAATCCGATACCACGTACCCAATTCACCTTTCATTCGAAGTTTTCGAGGACGATCACTATCCCGATTACGACACAGTCTCCTACGCCTGGGGCGGTGAAGATAACAACAGGGACCAGTAGGCATGCCTGATTAAACTCTGAGTCTCATACTGCGGGAATCAACTAACCTGTTTGAACTCGCAGCAACTGTCTTATCTATATTGGCGACTACTGGGACATTTTATACACAACCCGAAATTGCTGGGCTGTTCTGCGATACCTTCGTCCCTGGAGGGGCACCAGATTAGTCTGGCTAGACTTCGTTTGCATCAACCAATCCGACATGAACGAGAAAACCAAGCAAATTTTGAAGATGGGTCACATATACTCCCATTGTAACCAAGTGTTCTTATGGCTTGGACAAGACGCTGTGTCTCATGACCAAGCCGCTCTACCGTCTCGCCGTCCTCTCGAACATCTTCAAGGCCTCCATCAGATTCTCTTGCGAAACTACTTTACTCGAGTGTGGGTCATTCAGGAGCTGGTTCTGTCACCTCGCATCAGCATGCCTTATGGTAACGACGTTTTTGAGGTGTACCCTCAAAGCATTGAGAACATGGCAGAAAACCTGGCAACATCCCCGGCGCCATGGCTCAATCTTGCCACGCGAGGGTTATCACACAATCATTCTTGGACAGAAGTCATGAGGATGACCTCGCAGTCAAAATGTTCAGACGCTCGAGACAGTCTGTACGGTGTACTCGGGCTGTGGGCATCCGGCGGCAGTTTGCCCACCCCAAGTTACGCAATTTCTTACCAGCACATGATGATAGGCATGTTCGCCTGGCTTCTGATCCATGAGCATGATCTTAACGTTCTCCTTGCTGCAAAATGTATTTCCTTTGCAGAGTATGAAGATCCCTTACCGTCATGGATACCACCTTGGAGGACGCACAACTTTTGGCAGTGGTTCATCAACGTTTCTTCCAGGAATCAGGTCAAGCCCCCAGGTTTGACTTTCCCTGTCAAGAACATGACGTATAACAATGGGGAACTCGGCCCACCATACGGCCGACCCTGGCGTCAGTCTCGGATCACAGTCGACCACAACACTGGCGCACTCTCCTTGGTCGCAATCAAGATACACGTCATGCAATTTGATTTGCAAAAGCGAGACACGGACCCTAGCGATAATGTGTGGTCATCACGGTGCTGTCTCCATGTCCAGACTTCCAAAAACATAGCCGGTATTGTCAAAGAGGGTGATGAAATATACCTTCTTAGTCCATCTACTCCTGGGGGGCAAGACAAGCACGAACCACTAGTTTATCTCTTCTTACGGAAGGTTGCGAATCGAATGCACACGCTTATTCTGTGTGAGCCAATGGTTTACTTCAAACGTTGTCCGGTGTGGGAGTCGCTGGAAGAAACGCGAGTCGACCGGTCACTGGCGGTAGACGAGCTTCAAGAACTCTGGCATCGTCCAATGTACATATTTGACGAAGACATGCACACCGGTGGATTCCTTGGTCGAGGTCTACAAAGAACGTTTCCAGGAAATGAAGACACTCCGTTTCATGTCTTGCTGGCGGTCATCTTAAGCAGCAATGATGTCCAATGGCCGCTGGACATCAGCGCCCCACGCAGCTATGATATCCAACTGCTGCTAGACAACGACGCCGCCCGGAGATTTGACGCCAACATCAAGACGAACGAAAAATTCGTAAGATATGGAAAAACGATTTCCTATCTCACATTTAAATTCAGCAAATCTTACTGGGAAGGTGTTGAGGCTTTTTACACCATGGACAAAAACCGGCTTGATGATGAAGGAACGACTTTCCAGTGCAACGACAATCCTCCCGAGAGCGAGGAATGGAACCCTGTCTACGCTCGCAGTTGTTGGGATCTCCCTGAAATATTTAGGCACAAGGAGGCGATGTACGTCGAATGTGAACTTCCCAACGTCCACAAACTTCTTCTCAGAATAGACCGCGAACTATGTATCACCAGCATCTGGCGGTCCATCGGTTTTCGCAATCCCAAGGGATCCTGGGGGGAATTGCTCTATGCGAGGGCTGTTTATCCTAGCATGACGGATCCCGGAGATCTCAAGGCAAATGATGAACACCAGAGACATCATAGCATTCATCGCGTTGGTAACAGTGTTGTGGTGGGGTTAGAGTCGCGAATTCACATAGTTTGATACGAGACGAGACTATAAGATACGATTTGATATCCTCAGTATATAATCCGTGACGTCTAATGGTTGCCCATCTCGAAAACCCCAGCATCGAGGAGGGATGAATAGGGTCTCGGCGTGCCAATTCCAAACAATGGCCAGCTCGCCATGACGTTTAGACAGTCATATGTAACTTTGCATCTAGTATTGATAAAGAAACGCAATTAGACGGAGAAGACATCAACTTCTTCGGTTCGAAATCTGCGATCTTATATCTACAGCGTGGAAGATAAGAAAGGATTCGAAAGAAATATGAGCTATCTTGGGACAGCGTTCACAAAGCCAATATCCGCTCCTCATCAAAATCATCTTGGCTTGTTCACTACTATCGTCGTTGCTACCATCATCATCATTATCTTTGCTATGATTTCTCCTATCATCATCTCTACTATCTCTATGCTCGTTGACATCGCTATATTATAATCAGCAAAGATGTCATTGCTATAGTGGTTTCCGATTAGCAGCTGTCATCTTACACATCACCCCCCCCCCCCCCCCCCCCCCCCGATCACCTGGGATCACTTCATAAACTACCAAATCATCCACATCAGCCCATCTTCAACCCCCTTCCTCATTCAACCGCCCGAGGGATACGTGCATCTCGCACACCGGATCAACTATTCATCCAGTAAGCCATCCAGTTTCGATACCAGAATCGCCATCCTCATCACTCTTTGCGGACCTCGAAAGTACCCAGAAGCTTACCAACCCAACAATCCAATCAGTGGTACCTGGAATATCCTCTACCACACCAACACACCCTTCATTCCTCTACCTCACCTCAAAAACATCCCCTCCAAGCTTCCAATCTCAACTGCACAGCATTTCCAACCTCAATCACAATCACAATCACAAAAGTCGTCCGCGCAACCGCGCAAAAACCCAACTCACCGAACCTAACGAAACTGCAACCCCTGAGAAAAGGCAACGAGGCAAACCACCCTCATCCGCAGCCTCGTCGCGCCTCAATGATCTGCACCGAGCCTCAACCCATACCACCCTACCCTACACAACCTCCCTCTCCTGCCTATCCGAGAGACGACAACCCTCCCAACAGCAGGCAGTCATGCGAGATTTCACAACTCCAAGACAAGGAGTGATAACCACAGATGTTAATGAGCCTCAACCCATACCACTCCACACAACCTCACTTTCCTCCTGCCTAATCAAGAAACATCAAGAGTTCTCAACAGCAGGCATCCGTTCAAGACTTCACAACTCCGAGACAAGGAGGAACAACCGCAGATGCCAATGACCCTCTAGACCCATAAGGCAACAGCATGTATCAAGTTCGACTGTCCTCACCAACTCCTACCCAAACCTCAAACACCCCCACGACCTGCAACGGCGCCTCCGAAAGGACACTCATGCTTACCTCACATACCCATCTGATGTAAGCCAGACATTTGCCTTTGCCTCCCTTATCCCCAAATAAGTTTCCCAGCCGCAGACAGACAGACAGAAAGCAACAGAGCCTCTCCCACCCACCGCCCCCGTCCATCTCTGTCCTCCTCCTACAACGTTCCATCCAACCAAATCTCACCCCATCCCCGAACCAATCCAAAAGCACAGGGAATTCCAACCAATCCAGCCCGCATCCGCCATCACCATCCATCCACCCATCCCATCAGGCATCCAAACCACCCGTGCCTGGCCTGATCTGACCCGACTTGGACTGCCCGCCACGCCCCAAACCCGCATCTTCGATCCTGTACTCCGCGGATGGCCCCTCCCCCTCCTTTACTGTATATCCTAATCCAGGCCGCGAACACGGCCACATCCATTGAACCCTCACAATCAATCACAAAGGTGACCATTCCAAAGGCCGCGAGGGGACAACAAACAATTATATCAATTCTCACAACTTACCTCTCCAAAAGCCTCAGGCCGCATACAAACCGACCAGCCCAACCAACACCCCCAAGAAAGAACCACGGCGCCCCCTCCACGATACATCTTCCCTCCCTCTCTCTCCGAAAAGTGCCAGATTCCCCAGGCACACTCCCACCCCCATCTCTAATAGGCCAAAAAAGCCACTCTCACGAAGCGGGATAATCAACCTCTCGGGTGTGCTTACTCAAACAGATATCCCGTCAGCACATAGCACCTACATACCAAGCATACACAACATACCCGCGGCCCCGAGCCGGTTGGTCGGGGCGGCGCCATACCTACCTACCTAACCTCCCCTCAATGGCCCACGCTTCCCCTCCCGCCTACTCGAACTGCTCCTAACGCGCTGTACGGCGTATGCATCAAGCAGGCTCTGCGGCTGTATAAGGCAAGAACTGCACATTTCACATAGCACACATTCCCAGACATCAGCCCTTCCGTTCGGGCTGCGGCGCCAAAAGCGAAGAGGCACCACCACCACCCCTCCCTCCCCAAAAAGGGTTGGTTGCAGCCGGCGCTTGCTGCGCGGCCAATGAGCTCATCTGCGGGGCCCGGAGTGTCTCTGAGGAGGGGTGCTGGGTCTCTGCGAGTGAGTGCGTGTGTGAGTGGGTGAGCCCAGGACGGCGGGCAGTGGGATCATGGTGCCCAGTGTGATGTGATCGGAATCGCGGGGTCGTGTGTGCGTGTGTGTGTGTGCTCGCAATGCGAACCTGAGACCCTGCCTGACTGTCTGCTCACGAGGATATCAGTCCATCGAGATGCGACCTGCGAAAAAACACATGGCTCATCATGAGGCAACTGCGAAAAAATCTCAATTGAACAACGCATGAAGTCGCATGGATGGAAGCTTGAGCGAAGCTCTACCAAAGCCCCTCCGTCCAAGCTTGTCAGGAACGTTCACCGCCATGGACCTGGCAGCGATGTCCTAGCCAGGAAACGACCGCTACACATCGCAAAGTCTGGCACTAGCAAGAATGGCACTCCCAGAAAGCCCCATTGATAAAAT